AGGTACATAATATATCAATAGATGAAATAAAAAAGCAAACAAAACAAACAGAAACAAGCAAAACAAATCAAACAAAAAGCAAAGCTAAAATGAAAGAAGCCTTAATATCTTTAGTGGGCTCCAAACTCCCTCACTCGCCAACATTGGAGTGTTCCTTTTTGGTGGCAATTTAGGATCCCTCACTGGTTTATTAAAAAATAAAACAAACAAGCTACTCACCTCTTTTTAGACTCCAGAGAGACTGTTCTTTTACTTTTTCTTTTTTTTTTTTAATTATTCTTATTATTGTAATTTGGCTGCGAGGTTTAATTTTGCATTTTGTTTAATACATTGTACTTAACAAAGGATTTATGTTTAATTACTTTAAGATGTACAGCTATACTCTATGGTGTACTGATGGTTCTGCACATTACGGAATTCAGGTAGTGCTAATATCCTGATGAGTGAACTGCATATAGTAGGGTATACATCCTATTATACCATTTGAGTTGTGTGTGTCATCTTCACACTGACTGGTATTACATTTGACCCAGTGACAAATCAGTGACTTGTAACATAACATGTTCAAGAAGAAATATACCAGATCTATAGTTCCATTGTGCATATACCACTTTTACTAATAGCCTATAAACACACAATTACACACATAATTTATAAATATAAAAAATGATTTTGTTCACAACACAGCAAAGGGGATACCTGCACTGAAACAACTGTATTTTTGAGGCCATTCTGGATAATAAAATAATAACATTCTTTATTTTCTAATGTCCAATATATTACATTGCCTCCTGATAGCATATCTTTGCAGTTATGTCTCTGTGTCTGAGACATCAAAAACTACCCTTTTTAACACTTCCTGGGGGAATTTCAGTTTCCTCCTATTAAACATGAATAATAAAATCTGAAGCTTTCATCCTAATGGGGTTAGGAGGAGGCATAGGCTTTTTATAGCATACAATCCAAGTGCAGATAAAAACCACAGAAAATTAGGAAAGATAAGTCAAACCAAAAGATTTTGGTCCGGTTCTGGAATTAACTGAAACATTACATCCTCTTGGCTGTGAGCACAAATTAATTAAAGATTTAGACCTATTTTTTTTTTTCAAAAATAACCCTGTGAACAATAATGATCAGATGAGCACAGAATCTGAGAGTATGAGAATGTTAGGCTCACAGTTAATATTATTGGATGGTTTAATTCTAGATCGTCTTTCTTAATTTAATTTAGGTCTAGTCAATATCATTATTATAATAATTGTATTTATATAAGAAAAATAGTTCTTGGTCATCCGACATGATAAATGGCTTTATCATTACTCAAAAATATATGGACTTGAATTTCTAAATGAATGGTATACACAATTTTCTCTTGAATATTGTATGAATATGACATTAAGTTGTGTGTATTTAGAGTCCAGACACGATTCCTTTTGTGTTCTCTAGACAAGATTAATTTTGGGTTAAGCACCCCACCCAGAGGGCTTGTTTCACATCAGTAGCACATATTTTTAGGTTTATATATGCCTGTGTGTGTGTATAGTGTGTGTGCTGCAGTGCGGGTAGCAGCATGTAGTGTGTGTGCGGCAGTGTGTGAGTGTATAATGGTGTAGTGTATTTAGCAGTGTGTCTGTGTGTAACAGTGTGGTAAGCAGCATGTGTAGTAGTTTATGTGTGTGTGTGGTCAATGTGTGGTCAGTCCTCTGTCAGTCTGAAGGGGCAACGCCATGCATAGATCACGCTGCCTCAGACTGTAAACAGTGATCCCAGAGTTTAACAGACACAGTAGGCATCCTCATTAGGCATGTGCCTCTTGGCAGGTATCTACTCTCCCCATCCCTTCATCCCAGGTGTCCTTTTGGACCCCAGGAAAGCTTACATTTGAGGAGAGTCTATTGAAGCAGTTTAAACAGTAAGTATTGCAGTTATCATGCTGCTCTCCCATATTAAGATTAGTGTGGACCCCACCTATATTGGGATAGTTTGATATCCTGGTGCGCTTTACGTAGTATGGCCATACTGTGTGACTAAATCCCCATATTTGTTTAAGATATGAAACTATAAGTAGCCTTGTAAGAAAAAAACTGTATTTTGTGTGTGCATAAGCATACACGCATTTGGTTTGTCTTTTTAAAATCTATAGTATTATTTTTTTTTTTATTTTTTTTAAATTCTTTATTTTTGTATTGACATACAATAATGCAAACAATTGTTAGCAGATACATTCGGTAAAGAACAGAAACAGTTTGTTATCAGTTCGCATCTACAACTCTTTGTCATATAAAGCTTAGTTTAATGATGCATGGACAGCAATTGTCGTATCTAATTTGTGGGTTTTTGTAAGCGGTTCCTGTCTTTCTCTTTGGTTATTTTGTGATAAGCACCATTTTGCTTTGTCATCAGAGATCGCCTAATATGGTGGTGTATGGATAGGAAGTAGCCGCACTCAATTCTTACGTTCCATGTCTGCGATATATGTCTGTCTCTCGGAATGCCTTATGGTAGTCAATATTTTTGATTTTTATGAAACATTAAAGCATGGTCAGAAATACAAAGAAAAAAGAAAGAAAAAAGGTAAAGATTCAAAAGGTTAAAGAGGGAGGGGGGTGTGCTGGAGTAGGTAAGTTTGTCAAACGGGTCGTGTTCGTATTTAACTTCCTAGGTTGGAGTTTTCCCAAGGATCCCAGATCTTCTGAAAAGTTTTTAAGGTGCCCCTTATCCTAGCTGTTAGGTTGTCCATCAAGTGGACCTATTTTATCCTATTTATCACCCCTGCTATGGGTAGTGTGCCCGGTTTAAGCCACTCTGAGGCTACTGCTCTCCTAGCGGCTAGCGTAATTTTGTGGATGAGCTTTTGTTCATGCCTAGTCCAGCCATCTATGGATCTGTTTAGTAAGAATAGCCATGGATCTAGGTCTGGGGCTCTAGAAAAGACCTGCGACAACAGGGCCTGTATCTGGTTCCAAAATATGACCATCTGAGGGCATTCCCAGCTCGTGTGGATGTAGGTCCCCCGCAGGCTGCAGTCCCTCCAGCATACATCTGTAGTTTTTTTTTTCATTTGATGTAGTTTAACCGGTGTAGTATACCAGCGAAGCATAGTTTTGACAGATTGTTCCTGAAGGGTAACTTGTACGGAAGAGGTATGGTTAGCCTCCCAAATCTCTTGTCTCTCTATGCCTTCCAGTATTTCCCTAGGTCTCTCTCCCAATGATCCGTATAGGCTAGCTTACCCCAGTCCCCATGCCTTTAGGTATGGTTTCTTGAAGGCAGATGCTTTCGAAGAAGGTCATCTTTTGCAGGGCTGCCGCTTTGATGTGTGCTAATTTTGCGGAATCTTTAAGTTGTATGTATCTGAAAAAATCTGAGGGGGCTAGGTGGCCCCGCTGTCTTAACGTATCGAAAGAGATGACCTCTGTTCCCTGGTACAATTGGCAGATGTGTTGTAACCCTATTCGCTCTAAGTTTTTGAAGGCTCTAGCTGTCATTCTGGGGATGAAGGCCTTATTGCGTAAGTATGGCATTAGAGGAGACGGGTCAGATGCTAAATGAAACATGTTTAATGGAGTCCCACATCCTCAAGGAGTTGATTATAGTCGGGCAGGTGAGCCTTATCTCGGGTCTGTGTTCTTTAGGGACCCACAGGAGGAGCTGTGGGATGTCCGCGCCCGTCATGAGAGATTCTACGTCTGCCCATTTTCGGTCTCCTGGGGGAGAGTGCCACATCGCCACCTGAGTCAATTGAGTCGCTGTGTAATAGTAATATATGTTTGGGAGACCCAGGCCCCCTCTCGTCCTTGGACTATATAAATTGTTTCTGGAAATTCTGTGTCTTTTGTTCTGCCACACAAAGGACCCTATAGCCCTCTGCAGGGGCTGCAAGGATGCGGATGGGCAGCGCTTGAAACAAAAAGAGAATTCTAGACAAGATGTTCATTTTTACAGCGTGAATTCTTCCTATCCACAAAATAGGTCTGTCCACCCACGTCTCCATCTCCCGTATCAGCTTTTTCATCAATGGTGTATAATTTTGATAGTATAATTTTTCTGGTTTTGCTGTCAGGCGAAAACCTAGATATTTGAGTGTCTGTTGTTCCATTCGTATTTGGTGTGTGTTGTGTATTAGAGTTGTTGCTGCCGCTGGTACTCCTATTGGGAGGGCGCTAGACTTCGCCATGTTTGCTTTGTACCCTGAAATGGTCCCAAAGTCCCTAAAGCACCCCCTGCAAGGCTCCCCTTGAGTTCACCGGGTCGGTGAGCGCTAGGAGCACGTCATCCGCATAGGCTGAAACCAAATATTCCCTACCTCCCACTTCAACACCCTTCACGCCCGGGTGGCGCCATAATGCCTGTAATAGGGGTTCTAACTAAAGTACAAATAGAAGGGGGGAGAGGGGGCACCCCTGTCGAGTACCATTGAAAAGGTGAAAAGGGCAGGGCGGGCCTACTGAGATCTTCACCTGCGCTCTGATGTTACTATACATTGCTCTTAATAAGGTCATGAACTGTTCAGGGAACCCTAGATGGGTCAGGAGCATGAACAGGTAAGGCCACTTCACTCTATCAAATGCTTTTTCAGCGTCGAGCGCAACGAACATCGTTGGAGTCTTTGTGGCCACCTGTCTGTTCGGTATAAAGCCAACTTGCTCAGCGTCTATCAATTTCGCTAAGAAGGGGTTAAGCCGTTCTACCTGTGTCTTTGCCAAAAGCTTCATATCGTGATTTATGAGAGATATAGACCTATAACTGTCCGGTGAAAGGGGGTCTTTATCTGGTTTTGGCAATAACACAATGGTAGCCAAGTTCATATCGGGGCTTGGGGAGCCTCCTGTCTGAAAACCATTGAAGACTTCTGTCAAGTGATGAACAAGTTCCTCGCGAAACATCTTGTAGTAACTACCGTCAAATCCGTCAGGTCCTGGGGCCTTGTTTCCTTTTAAAGCTGTTATTGACCGGTCAATTTCGTCAGGGATAATTTCAGCCGCTAGAATATCAACCGCCTCTTGTGGTAACTTGGGCAGTCCTAGGTCTTTCAGGAAATTGCCGGTTGCGTCCTCGTCTCTCATGGTCATTGTCTCTGAGTTTGGGGAATGATTGTAAAGGGATTTATAGTAATCAGTAAAAACGTCTGCTATGTCTTTGGGCATAGTTTTGACCAAGTTATCTGGGTGCCGGATGGATGTAATGTGTCCTCGTCTCATTCTAGGTTTGAGGACCCTGGCTAGTAAGGTATCCATCTTGTTGACCGGTTCGTAAAACTTTATTTTGGACCAATTCATGGCTCTAGCAGTATTGTCCAGTAATAGAGTGCGTATGCCATGTCGTGTTGCTTCTAAGCGTCTAAATGTTTTGTCATCTGGACGGTCTTTGTGTTTTTGTTCTAACGTCCGTACAGTCAAAGGACTCTCTTTTAGCCGTTGCTAACTTAATAACTGACCCTCGTATGACTGTTTTATGTGCTGCCCATATTGTCTCTGGACGCAAATCTGGAGTGGCATTGATGTCAAAGAACTCCCAAATGTCTTTGAGGATCTGTTCCACAATCTCTGGGTCTTTCAGTAGGGATGAATTTAGTTTCCACGTCCATGGGGAAGCATTACAGAGGTTCCCCAGGGTAATGTGGATGTCTGCGTGATCGGACCAAGAGATGGAACCTATCTCTGATCCCGTGACCCAAGACAACGACTGATCATTACTCAAGAACATATCAATTCTTGAATATGTGCCATGCGGAGCCAAGTAAAAAGTAAAGTCCTTTGTGCTTGGATGATGTGCTCTCCAGAAATCCACCAACCCGGTATCCGTGATGAACCTATGGAGCATCTTATCTTGTCCTCCCCACCCTTGGGACCTGGGAACACCTCCCTGTGAGCTCCTATCGATGGCAGGGTTTGAAACTGCATTGAAGTCACCTCCCACTATGATGAGTCCGTGATCCAGTGCTCGGATTTTGGTCTGTAAATCGTCCCAAAAACCGGCATCAGGTTGGTTCGGGGCATACACATTAATAAGGTGTGTCCTGTGGGATAGCAGGGTACCCGTTACCACTATATACCTCCCGTTTTGGTCTAAATCTGAGGATTCTATGTGTAGTGGGCAGCTGTTCCGAATGAGGATCGCAACCCCATTACGCTTAGTGTAAGTTCTGGCTTCATAGGAAACCCTGAACGTTTGGTCTTTCAGTTGGAATGTAGCTTGTTTCGGTATGTGAGTCTCTTGAATAAAGACTATGTCAGACTTCATTCTTTTCAGTTCTCTGAAAAGGAGACGTTTCTTGTTCGGCGTGTTAAGCCCTTTTACATTTAGGGATGACAGTTTCATAGCCATTCTCTTGATCTAAGTGTGACGCCTTTTAGTATGCCCACCTCTGTCCACTGCAGAACCGTTGTGCCCCGATGTGTAAGCCCCCAGCCCCAAAGTAAAAAGGGGAAGGTGAACCGGGAAAAGAGAAGGGGAAGGAAAAGAAGAGAGAAAATATATAAAAAAATGGTAATTGAGCACTGTGAGTGCCCAAATGTAGTCGTCTGGTCTTATCTGTTGCCAGACTGGTGTGGGGTTCAGATTTCCCCATCTCGTCTGCGCACAGCGCTAGAGAGAGATGTGGATGTATGAGCCTCTAACCATTGTGCGCTGTTTTGTAACTTTTCTTAGCTAACTCTATTTGCTACGCAATCTACTCCTATTTGGCGTAGATGTCAGGAGTGAGTATGTAATCAAGTGTCTGCTAGCATTGCATAAAAACAGTCGTTTAACACATTTGCAGTATCCAAGCGGAGAAAAAAGAAAACAAAAACAAACACAGAAATCAACACCATCAAAACCAGAAGTTGGTGGGAGACCACTTCAGTACCTGTACTGAGCTACGGGAATATACGATGCCCTTATGAATCTAAACCCCGTACATATACTGGGGTAACTGGGCCTCCCCTACCCCGGGGCTTTAATGGTATCACATTTGTATATCCCCCATAAAAGCAGGAGGGCCCCTCGTTGGGCGCGGGGTATTTAAAGCTAAACTAAACTGACATCAAAATCTCCATTACCTGTGTGTGGTTTAGCCACTAGATTAATGTTAGGCCGCTTGGGCCATCAGTGGGGGGAGGAGGGGGTTATTCGCCTCCAACAGGGATGTGGGGAATATGGTTCTTATAGCGATAGATAAACTTATCAAGGAGGGCATGAACTTAAAAAGTGTACAGGTGTCAAACATAGAACAGGATTAATGCAGATTTTTTGCTCCTTTCTTTTGTTTGTGTTTTATAAGTTTCATACATATGTAACCCCTTTTTTCCTAAAGTTTTTCGATCGTGTTGATGGTTCACCTTTTTTTTTCATATACATTTTTAATAATATGTGTTATTTTTCTTTTTCCTTATTGTTTTTTTTTCATTCTTTTGTCCCTCACTTTGGTCCCAAAGTCCCTAAAGCACCCCCTGCAAGGCTCCCCTTGAGTTCACCGGGTCGGTGAGCGCTAGGAGCACGTCATCCGCATAGGCTGAAACCAAATATTCCCTACCTCCCACTTCAACACCCTTCACGCCCGGGTGGCGCCATAATGCCTGTAATAGGGGTTCTAACTAAAGTACAAATAGAAGGGGGGAGAGGGGGCACCCCTGTCGAGTACCATTGAAAAGGTGAAAAGGGCAGGGCGGGCCTACTGAGATCTTCACCTGCGCTCTGATGTTACTATACATTGCTCTTAATAAGGTCATGAACTGTTCAGGGAACCCTAGATGGGTCAGGAGCATGAACAGGTAAGGCCACTTCACTCTATCAAATGCTTTTTCAGCGTCGAGCGCAACGAACATCGTTGGAGTCTTTGTGGCCACCTGTCTGTTCGGTATAAAGCCAACTTGCTCAGCGTCTATCAATTTCGCTAAGAAGGGGTTAAGCCGTTCTACCTGTGTCTTTGCCAAAAGCTTCATATCGTGATTTATGAGAGATATAGACCTATAACTGTCCGGTGAAAGGGGGTCTTTATCTGGTTTTGGCAATAACACAATGGTAGCCAAGTTCATATCGGGGCTTGGGGAGCCTCCTGTCTGAAAACCATTGAAGACTTCTGTCAAGTGATGAACAAGTTCCTCGCGAAACATCTTGTAGTAACTACCGTCAAATCCGTCAGGTCCTGGGGCCTTGTTTCCTTTTAAAGCTGTTATTGACCGGTCAATTTCGTCAGGGATAATTTCAGCCGCTAGAATATCAACCGCCTCTTGTGGTAACTTGGGCAGTCCTAGGTCTTTCAGGAAATGGGAAATTGCGGTTGTCCTGTCTCATGGTCTGCTGAAATGCTCTGGGGTTTGGGAATGATTGGCGAGGTTTACGCGGTAGTAATCCACAGTAAAGCGTCTGCTATATGCTTTGGGCATAGTTTGACCAAGTTATCACGGTGCGGATGGATGCGCCAATGTGTCCTCGTCTCGTTCAAGTTTGGGACCCTGGCTGAAGAGTAAGGCCATCCTCTTGTTGACGGTTAAAACTTTATTTTGGACCAATTCATGGCTCTAGCAGTATTGTCCAGTAATAGAGTGCGTATGCCATGTCGTGTTGCTTCTAAGCGTCTAAATGTTTTGTCATCTGGACGGTCTTTGTGTTTTTGTTCTAACGTCCGTACAGTCAAAGGACTCTCTTTTAGCCGTTGCTAACTTAATAACTGACCCTCGTATGACTGTTTTATGTGCTGCCCATATTGTCTCTGGACGCAAATCTGGAGTGGCATTGATGTCAAAGAACTCCCAAATGTCTTTGAGGATCTGTTCCACAATCTCTGGGTCTTTCAGTAGGGATGAATTTAGTTTCCACGTCCATGGGGAAGCATTACAGAGGTTCCCCAGGGTAATGTGGATGTCTGCGTGATCGGACCAAGAGATGGAACCTATCTCTGATCCCGTGACCCAAGACAACGACTGATCATTACTCAAGAACATATCAATTCTTGAATATGTGCCATGCGGAGCCAAGTAAAAAGTAAAGTCCTTTGTGCTTGGATGATGTGCTCTCCAGAAATCCACCAACCCGGTATCCGTGATGAACCTATGGAGCATCTTATCTTGTCCTCCCCACCCTTGGGACCTGGGAACACCTCCCTGTGAGCTCCTATCGATGGCAGGGTTTGAAACTGCATTGAAGTCACCTCCCACTATGATGAGTCCGTGATCCAGTGCTCGGATTTTGGTCTGTAAATCGTCCCAAAAACCGGCATCAGGTTGGTTCGGGGCATACACATTAATAAGGTGTGTCCTGTGGGATAGCAGGGTACCCGTTACCACTATATACCTCCCGTTTTGGTCTAAATCTGAGGATTCTATGTGTAGTGGGCAGCTGTTCCGAATGAGGATCGCAACCCCATTACGCTTAGTGTAAGTTCTGGCTTCATAGGAAACCCTGAACGTTTGGTCTTTCAGTTGGAATGTAGCTTGTTTCGGTATGTGAGTCTCTTGAATAAAGACTATGTCAGACTTCATTCTTTTCAGTTCTCTGAAAAGGAGACGTTTCTTGTTCGGCGTGTTAAGCCCTTTTACATTTAGGGATGACAGTTTCATAGCCATTCTCTTGATCTAAGTGTGACGCCTTTTAGTATGCCCACCTCTGTCCACTGCAGAACCGTTGTGCCCCGATGTGTAAGCCCCCAGCCCCAAAGTAAAAAGGGGAAGGTGAACCGGGAAAAGAGAAGGGGAAGGAAAAGAAGAGAGAAAATATATAAAAAAATGGTAATTGAGCACTGTGAGTGCCCAAATGTAGTCGTCTGGTCTTATCTGTTGCCAGACTGGTGTGGGGTTCAGATTTCCCCATCTCGTCTGCGCACAGCGCTAGAGAGAGATGTGGATGTATGAGCCTCTAACCATTGTGCGCTGTTTTGTAACTTTTCTTAGCTAACTCTATTTGCTACGCAATCTACTCCTATTTGGCGTAGATGTCAGGAGTGAGTATGTAATCAAGTGTCTGCTAGCATTGCATAAAAACAGTCGTTTAACACATTTGCAGTATCCAAGCGGAGAAAAAAGAAAACAAAAACAAACACAGAAATCAACACCATCAAAACCAGAAGTTGGTGGGAGACCACTTCAGTACCTGTACTGAGCTACGGGAATATACGATGCCCTTATGAATCTAAACCCCGTACATATACTGGGGTAACTGGGCCTCCCCTACCCCGGGGCTTTAATGGTATCACATTTGTATATCCCCCATAAAAGCAGGAGGGCCCCTCGTTGGGCGCGGGGTATTTAAAGCTAAACTAAACTGACATCAAAATCTCCATTACCTGTGTGTGGTTTAG